TGGGGGAGGCCGGGGGGGGGGGGCAGGTGGGCTAGACGAGTCAATGGGGGAAAAGGGGAGACATATGTAGTACTTTCAATAATAGATTTAATTTAAAAAAAAAAGAAGAAATGAACCATAACCCTCAGATCCTCAAAAGTCCCCTACTCCCAACCTTGGTCACTTACCTATGCAGAGAGGTGACAGAATACACAAGCACATAACCATGGACCCCAATGATGAATGAATAGGGCAGAATGCTGTACTCATCCTGATAAGAAAAAGAAATATCAATACCTAGATCCATAATACTCAGATGACAAAGGTTGGTGGACTGTATCCTGGTACCCTCCCCGGGGGACTCCCTATTCCAGTCACTTTTATTCAACAAGTATTTATTGAGTAGCTCCAATGAGTGCTACACACTACCAGATGCTAAAATGTTTTTCTTTTAATACTAATTTATAAATGAACCACAGAGGCTACCAGATTTCATCTCTCAGGACTGAACTACCACATTTAGATACCCTACCCCAAACTAGTACCTGCCCTGCTGTGTCCACCAGGTGTAGGTGAAACTCGTCTTTGCCAAGGGTCACTATCTTGCTGTAAGCTGTAAAGAAAAGAAAACTTGACTGTGAGGTGCTTTGAAGGGCTAGCGATGTGCACCCCGATACATTTTTAACTCTGGGGGGTGGGGGAAACATAGATGGACTAGGTCAAGAGAGCTCTCCAGGAAACTGGAGAGAAAATTTTAAGATTCTTATTGTCTACATCTGCACCATTCTGGACTCAATATCTTGCAAAATCCACACTCTGGCTCCACTCATAGAAAGGACTGCTAGAGAAGAGATTAGATTTAATGCCTAATCAAATAATATAATTAAATTATTGCTTAGCATCAGGATTATGGAGCTGGGTGGGGCACCCACGCCCTCCCTCACCACCTAACCCCCAGGGAGAAGTTCACTCACTATTATCCACTGTAGGATCATAGCCTTCCAAGAACTCGCCCTCCACAAATTGATGTGCCAAAGATGTCTTCCCTGTGGAAAGCAGTGGTAGTATTCAATCAGCTATCTACATTCACACCCTCTGCCCTTTTGGGCTGTAGCCCAGGAGTAAAGGGGACCCCAAATTAGCACCCTAGCTTGTGAATGCCCCATGCAATACTTTCCCTTAGCCTACCCTCAACCCTCTTTTCGCCCTGGGTCTCTGCACCTTGGCCACCGGATGCATTCAGTAGCCCCGCAGGAAGCCTTTCCAGTCTCCTTTCCCCACTCCACCCCTGGGAATTTCCGAGATTCCCTAGGATCAAGTCTGCCCCGCACCCGGCCACCTGCGACTTACCCAACACAGACCACGCCCTGTCATCAAATGCTGACCCCACCTCTACCCCCAAGACTAATGCCGGAGACCACCCCGGTATTCCTATAGCCAAGTCCATATTAACCCTTACATATTCCGCTTCCTGCAGCCCTCCACACACTATCACCACCCCAGGCTTTCCTCCGATATCCTTTCAATCCTCGCTCTACATCTCCATTCTTAAGAATGCCACCATTCCTCCCTAGTCGCGTTCCCGCGGCAGCGCGCCTCCTCTGGCCACAAAGCAGCGGTGCGTCCATGCTCTCCCCAGGGCGGAGACTCACCTACAGAGCGGTACCCGAGGATGACCACCTTCCTATAGCGGACTAGCGGCATGGCAGAGGTCGGCCCCGAAGGGCTTGCAGAACTGCGGGCTGGGGAAGCCCTAAGAAGCGGAGGTCACAGTGTAGGCAGATGCAGCAACTGGCACCGAAAAGCTCTCTCGAAGGTGCAAGGGGCAAGCTAGAGAGAAACCAAAACAAGCGCCGCGCCCGGAGCTCGCCACGTGATCACAACACAGCAAGACTAAAGCGAGGGAGAGGCGCGCCGGAGAACTACTGTGCCGCGTCGCGCCGGGCTCCGCCCCCCAGGCCGCTCGCCATTGGTCTATTAGAAAAGATTAGGGTGGGGCCACCAGCGGGAGGAAAGGGTGGGCCTCACGTGTAGCGGGAGAACCAGAGCTGCGCGTGCGCAGACTAGAGCCGGTTCATTCATAAAGAAACAGAAAGGAGCCCAGGGTCCTAGAGGTGTTTGCGTATTTGCGACTTAGCAAAAGTGGCTGCGAAGAATCATGGATAAAAAACATCCATTGTGGCTGGCCTGGAATTTCTGATCAAAAGATTCTAGGCCTTCCTTTTGCAAGGTATCTGGGGTCCTTGAATAGGGAAAAAAGGCCAAAGTTCTAATATTCTTCCTCTAGTCTGTCCTCTGCACCGGCCTCCAGAACAGGAGTCCTGGCTGTGTTCCCTCTCTACTCAGGGACCTTCCAATGCTCCCACTGCCCTCAGAGTAAAGTGTGAAATTCCCCATCTTCACATTTAAGACCCTTGTGATCTGGCTCCTGGCACCGTCTCCAGTTCCAAATTCATCCATTGCTCCATGCAAACTGTCACAAATCCGTTTAGTAAATTAACAAGAAAGTGAGGCAGAGCTCCAGCCAGTTTGACTCAGTGGATAGAGCGTCAGCCTACAGACTGAAGGGTCCCAGGTTCCATCCCAGTCAAGGGCACATGCCCCGGTTGGGCTCGGCCCCCAGTTGGAGGCAGCCAATCAATGATTCTCTCTCATCATTGATGTTTCTATCTCTCCCTTTCCCTTCTTCTCTGAAATCAATAAAAATATATAAAAATAAAATAAAATGTTATATATTTAAAAAAATACCTAGTTGGTAAGAGACAAACATAAACAAGGAAACATTAGGTAGTATTAAGTGCTGTAAAAGGTAGTGTAATAAGAAATGACCGCCCTTTCCCTGCCGCCGCGGAGTTGCGCGGAGGCAGAGGCTTGGGTGCGTTCCTGATTTGGCTCCACCCATAACCCACCGCCACGCCCGGCCGTGGAAGGCATTGCTGCTGGAGGTGTCATGGACGTTAATACTGCTTTGCAAGGGGTGCTGAAGACCGCCCTCATCCACGATGGCCTCGCGCGTGGAATTCGCGAAGCTGCCAAAGCCTTAGACAAGCGCCAAGCCCATCTTTGTGTACTTGCATCCAACTGTGATGAGCCTATGTACGTCAAGTTGGTGGAGGCTCTTTGTGCTGAACACCAAAGCAACCTAATTAAGGTTGACGACAACAAGAAACTAGGGGCATGGGTAGGCCTCTGTAAAATCGACAGAGAGGGAAAACCCCGTAAAGTGGTTGGTTGCAGTTGCGTGGTGGTTAAGGACTATGGCAGAGTCTCAGGCAAAGGATGTCATTGAGGAATACTTCAAATGCAAGAAATGAACAAATAAACTTGGCTTTTGTTTATCAAAAAAAGAAAAAAAGAAATGACCATTTTAGACCAGTGATACTTTGTAAAATATATTTTAAATTCAACACTGGGGATTGAGCCCACTACCTGGGATTGTACCCTGACCCGGGGACTTGAACCATGACCTCCTGGTTCATAGGTCGATGCTCAACTACTGTCATGCCAGCCCAGCAGGCTGGTGATAACTTCTGCTCAAAGGAAGCCTTGTTTAAACTCAGGTCTGAATGACAATAAGGAGCTTGCTAGCGCAAGATTTCCACAGAAGAGTCCATCACTGTTCTGCCTGCACTAAAATGGTGATAATTTTTTTCTTTTTTAAAAATATGTTTTTACTGGATCTCTCTCCAGGGAGCATGCCCATGCCTTTTCCTTCCCTCTCTATTTCCCTTTCTCTTCCCCTCCCCCTGACTCCCTCTCCCTAGGCACCATTAGCTTCCTCACTCCCAAGCTCCAAGGGCCCTTCCTTTACACCTAGAACTTGTTCCCTAAGCCCATTTCTTCTAGGAATTACTTTTTCTATCTCTGTAATTTACCCAATAAATGTTCTCTTACAGTTTGGGTCTTGCTCTGAATTCTTTCCTAGCCAGAACCCAAGTACCAAGGTTACTGAACCCAGCTTTGGTCTGACTCCAACTGTCTGGCACATGGTGCCGTTCCCACTGCCTACAACATACTTGGTGCTGCGTCACTCGGATTGTTTCATCACTGGCTCTGTGAAGCGCGTTTATGGGAACTCCAGGTGTGACCCAAAGGAATCAGCACAAAAGATCGGAGCACCAATGTCACCTCCTTGGAGAGGCCTTGCCCGACCACCCAATTCAATAGCAGTTGCATCTCTCAGTCCAAGAGATGCATGGATGAAAATTCTGCTACATGAGGTGTCTGAGATTTTACTGCTTAAGTTTCCTTCTAGAATTTTTATGGCTTCACGACTTACATTTAAGTCTTTTATCCATTTTGAGTTTATTCTTCTGTATGGTGTAAGTTGGTGGTCTACTTTCATTTTCTACCTAACACCTCACACCTGTCAGAATGGCTATCATCAATAAATCAACAGACAAGTGCTGGTGAAGATATGGAGAAAAGGAAACACTAGTTCACTGCTGGTGGGAATTCAGACTGGTGCAGCCACTTTGATGAGAGAATCATCAATCAACTGCCTCCTGTACACCCCCTACTGGGGATCGAGCCCACAACCGGGGCATGTACCCTGACCGGTATTGAACTGTGACCTCCTGGTTCACAGGTTGATGCTCAGCCACTGAGCCATGCTGGCTGGGTGCAGTTCCATTTTTAATTTTTTGAGGAAACTACATATGGTATTGAACCATGACCTCCTCCTGGTTCATGGGTCAATGCTTAACCACTGAGCCATACCAGCAGGGAATACATTTTTTTTTCAATTCTAGGAGAGAGAGGAGAAGGGGAGGAAAGG